GTCCCAATCCACAAGCTGTTCTTGCACTCAACTCATCACACCCAACGTATTTACAGACATGTCATCCTTGGGTAACATTTTTGCATCTTTCCCTCTTGCTGTTCTCTTGCCCCTATGAGGGGTGTGTGTGTGCGTGCGTGCATGTGTGTCTGTGTCTGTGCGTGCACAAACACATACATTTGTGTATAACAGAGTCTCCTTATCCATAATAATTGTGCACTAAGTCAATTTTCAGGGTTTCTCAGGTAGAAAATACTCAGAAGTGGTTCACCATTTCATTTTCCTGGATTATCCTGGGACCTTGCAGCTTGCCCAAAGGCCACACAGGCCGGCCCTTCTCCCTGGAGGAACTGTGTAGAACTGAACTCCCAACTTCTGGCTCTGCAGCCAGATACCTAAACAACGGAGTTATCCAGCCATCTTCCTATGAATTAGTAGATTACAATATTGTTTTGAGCCATCTTCAACGCTGCTTAGGGCAGCCACATGTTCTGCTTTATAGAAGACACTCATCTATATGGAAATGTCCTCCATCTGAAGAGCTGAAAGATCTAATTATTGCAGTTTAAAAATTAAGGACCAGTAAAAAGGGTGAGCAGGGAAATGTGGGCCTTGAAGCTAGCACCGAGACAGCCAACTGGGCAGGCTTTCAGCTCACACAGTCCGTCTTCCCTCCTGTGGTGACCTGCATAGCCTTTCAATTAGTCGTTCTTTTAAAGCTTCAACTGTATATATAAACTTGCATGTGCATATTACATTTGCAGATTCTTCTTTTTTTAAAGATGCGTTTTCTCTCTTTTGCTATCTGCTATAGCTAGACTGGCTCTGACAGCAAGTGATCTAACAATTTTTTGAGTTTTTAGCAGTAGTGGCGACGAGGATCTGTTTGCCTCCAGCAGTTCTAGGTATAAGCTGAAAACTGCATAAAAAACAGAAGAATGTTCTGTAGGTTCCCTGTCATTATGTGCCTTCAAGGTGCCTCCAACTTAGGTGGCCCTATGAATTAAAAGGGCCTGCTGTTAACAGCTGCACTTATATCTTGAAAATTCTAAGGGTGGCTTCCTTTACTGCCTCACTCTGCCTCACTTTAGTACTCCCCCCCTTTTTTACTGCCTTTGATTTTCCCCCAGCATTATTCTCTTTTCTAAATGTTTCCCCTTTTTTCTGATGGTATATCCAAAGTACAATAGGACCAGTTTGATCATTTTACATTCTAGCAGACGTTCAGGCTTGATTTGCTCCAGATGCCACTTAATTGTGTTGTTTCTGATGCTTATTCCAAAACCACATTTCAGATTAATCTATTCTTCCACCCCCCCTTGTGAACTTATTTCATTGTCCAACTTTTATATTCACACAGTATGATTCTATGGATGAAGTTGGCCTTGGTCTCCTGAGACACCTAACTTACACTTGAGGATCTTTTACAGTTTCTATGTCAAGGTTTGAGATTCTGAATGTATAGAGTGTTAAAATAATCAGCAGGGGACGTCTAGAAAAAGTAACCCTGAAAATGTGCATTGTGATTTAAAAAATGAGGTTTGAACAGCCTTCTGACAGCATTGCTTTCAGATTCTCGGACACATTCAAAACCTCCCATTATGTTAAGGTTGGCATCCAAAAGGGAGTCATCTCCTCTTCTCCTGCTTAAGACTGATCATGCAGACATCCCAACTTCACACCCAGCTCCTTCCCTTTTTCTCATAGTTACCACCCACTTTTTGCAATACCCTGACTGATCACGCGGACGTTTGCTCAATCATTTGGTACATTTTTAGTAGGTTTTTTAAAAAAAGGTAAGAAAGTATTTCCCCACTCTTGATTTTGGAATTTTTCTCACAAAGCAAAGGACTGCTGGTGGAAAAGTGGAATAGAAATGTCAATACAGACTGTAAACTAAAGTGTGCAGGTTTTGGGGGTTTTTTAATGGTGGCAGATACTTGTGTTTTTAGCAGCTACCTAGAGAATTCTGGAAGCTTTGGTTAAAAAAAAATCTGCGTACCTTTCTTGAAAACCACTTGGGATAGGAAAATATCTGCCTTGTTTATGCTGTTGGAATTGATAATGAAATCCAACAATAAGAATAATGCCCATTACCACCAATTTTCTACCACTTTCAGTTGTAAGGGATTGCACCACTTCTCTCTCTCTCTCTCTTTAATGGGAGGGAATGGTGGGTTCAGAAAAAAAAGATAGCTCTAGGAAACACAGAAGGGTTAGAACAGAATAGGTGATAATCAATCAATAGGTGAAAATCCGTCAAATAAAAAGTAGCACAGATGCAGAGTTAAAGCTGCCAGTGGAAGCATCCTCACATTCAGATCTTACAATACAGAGTGGGCTAAAATGTAGATAGCGCAGTGGTTTAGGCATCTAGCTTTGGAGCCAGAGGTAGGAGTTTGATTCCTACAAGTAGAGCCAGCCTATGTGGCCTTGGGCAAACTGCACATTCCCAGGAGAAGGGAACAGTAAACCACTTCTAAGAATGCCTTTTCTGGAAAACCCTGAAAAGGGTCACCATAAGTCAGCATTGACAGAGCCACAGAGATTCTCCGGGGGGGTCATGCAAGTTTCCCCCCCCTAAGCCTACGTGTTTGTGACTTTCCCATTCAAGTAGCAACCAGAGGTGACCCTTCTTAGCTTCTCAAATCTGGCAAGTTAATTTTTACACACACACCCAGCCAGTAAAGTAATGTCACCTGGTTCTCCATGAAGTAGTTCTCACCTGGACAACCCTTCCCCTCCCCAAACGTAAATGAACAATACTTTCGACACATTATGTTGTTTAAAGCCCTGCTTTATTGAAGTGACTGTTACCTACGGCAATGGCAGTTTTTGCCCATTTCTCTGCCAGCTCTGGAGCCATTTACATTCATATGAAAAAGAAGAGAGCACAATGCCAACCATTTTTATTTTAAAAAGATGCCCCCCTCCTCCCAGATAAATTCTCAGCTGCCATAAAATGAAGAAAAAGAAAAGCACAGTTCAAGACTCACAGACCCATGCATACCACCCATGTTTGTGCATTCAGGTACGTAGGACTGTGTATAGCCTGCACAAAAACAGTAAAAATAATAATAATAATAAATCTGTGACCAGGCAAACCAAATAAAAAATGAAAAAGCTGATTTCTGCAATCCTCGCAAACTGTGCTAGCAGGCCAAATTTGCATAACTTAATATTTTGCATAACACACTTGCAATTATGACTGTTTTGCGTAATTTATTCTGGTTTTCCTAGTCCTGGAGAGGAAGGGATCAAAAGCTATGCAAGACAAGGATGCCATACTCTTTGAAACCTTAATCACCAGTTCCTTCAGATGATATCAGCAAGCATGGCCCACAGGCACACTTTTTTTTTACTAGCCAAAGAGTAGAGTTGCTTGGAGAAAAAGGAACTGACATTCTCAGGAAGCAGAATTCCCCAAGAAATACCACATTCTTTGGCATGTGGCATTCCACTTTTCAGCCTTCTGAATTGGAGCATATATGCAGCCCAGCAGATCCACAATAAACAGAACAAGGACAATAAATTTGAAAGGTGAGTGTCAGAACACTCGGGGCGTATTTTAAACACAGTTTTTCCTGATCACCCTCCTATACAGGCAGGGATTAATCTATGGGGCAGTTCTCTACACACCTGTTCAGAGATAAGCTCTACTGAGTTCAACATGGTATAACCCCAAGTTAAGGGTGTATAGGAATTCAGTATTCATTTGAAAACAATACAAATAAAGATATGCCGAGGCTTCAGCTTGCTGACACGTCTCATAGTTTGAACAAGAAACTCTGCAGATGCAATTGCAAATGTCTTGGGGAGGGGCGGGGGGGAGGATGCTGTGATGTGTTGGTGGGAAGCAAAACACTGTACAGTACTTCTTTTCTTTGTCTAAACATGCTCAGAGATGCCCTCTTCTCTGTTATGAGTTTATGTGTCTCCCTTAAATGAGCCATGGCACCTGAAAATAAGGTTCAGCTTTAAATTCTAGGGAGGAGCCTGGGCACACAAATTAAGCCTTTGCGTGCAGGTACTATGCAGACAGGTACTGCTAAGTACCCACAAACCGAGCTCTGGTTGTTCACATGCAGGCGTTAAGGCACACGAACACAGAGAGACACATTCAAAAGTTGCACATATACATACAAACACAGAGCTGCTCCATTTTTCTCCAGTAACCTATCACTTTTTCCACCCCAACCATTATTTCTTTCCCCCAGATACTAGCCTGTCCCAACCATACATACTCATTCCCCCGCTTGCTTCTTCCAAAGAGCCGGAGAGACTGCAGAGTGGCTAGACCACCTACATCTGGTAGGGGGAATGTGTGCATTCACAGCTGAGATATGGTCATCCTTGGAGGGTCCTGCTCTAGCGTAAGATTTTACAGTTCTCAAGCATCCCAAAACTGTTAAGTTTGGGGTGGGATTCATTTCTAGAACTAGAGGCAAAAGGCTGCAGATTCTCCATTCTTCTTTTATAGTTCCTCACAACCAACAGACACAGAAGAGTCTCCTTAAGGCAATACTAGAGTCTTGGGCAATATAGGTATGTTGTGGACATTAGTTTGGATTTGGTGGCTCAACTGGATCATCGAAAAGGCAGACAAAGAACCTCTGTTCCTCCACCTCCAAGACACGAGATTCTGAACTGTCTTGACTACAATCAAAGACGTCTTTGTTCGCTCTGGAGCTGCCCTGGTAGACTTATGGCTCCCCACATCACCTGCTTCTTTAAGAACCAGACGTTTTGTGTAGCTTAGTGAAAATCCTGAAGGGAAAGCTATATGTCTCCAGTTTGTAAGTAAAATTATGGCTGCAAGGAAGCATGAGAGAGTTCTTTATTAAATGGGCAACATAAGCAACAAGCAGGTTCCAGCCCTGACATGGCTCATTCCGAATCTTTAAAAGTCCAAGCAGGTTCCAGCCCTGACATGGCTCATTCTGAATCTTTAAAAGTCAAAAAAAGAAAATGAAAAAAAAGAGAGAGTAATTCGCAATGTTTAAAAAAAAAAGAAAGGAAAAAAGAAAAAAAAAGAAAATGAAAAAAAAAGAAAATGAAAAAAAAGAGAGAGGAATTTGCAATGTTCGACATCCAAATCTCCAAAAACAGCTGGCTCCATAACAACTGTGGCCTGTCCTCCTCATTCCAGGTGTTTGAGAACAAAGGAGGTTGAACTGAAGTGGAGCAGGTAGGGAGGTTCTTCTCTTCTTTGGTTATTGGTTTGGCCCTCTCAGCTCAGCTGCAAGAACGGCAGGTACACCGCATCCCTGTTGATGCATTGAAGAACACAAAAGGCAGCCAGAATCTTCTCTGGAAGTGGCAGTTGGTGTGGAAAGAGGCATCTCCCTCTATGGCATGAGGTAATTCTGTTGGCCCCCAACGGGGCTCTGCCTCCAGGGCAGAGCAGACAGAACCAAAGAGGAAAAGAAGCCAGCACCTGTTTTACCATCCTGCCTGCCCACCTCCACTACGTAGGATCCAACTCAAAGACACGGTCATCAGCTGGCGAGGTGAAGAAGCAGGCCTGGCTGGAGGCAGGGCGCCGGCTGCTGCCCCTGCTGAGTCCCAGGGACTTTTCAAAGTCCAGCAGCTGCCCCATGAAGTTGAAGTTGGGAGAGATGTTGGACTTCTTCCGCTTCACGAGGTCATAGGCATCGTTGAGGGACAGGTTGAGCTTCTGCATGAGGTAGGCTACGGTGACAGTAACCGAGCGACTGATCCCGGCCAAGCAGTGCACAAGGATGCCACAGTTCCGAGAGAGGGCTTCATCTGGGGATAATGGTTTAAAAGAAGGGAAAGGGTGTGGGGAGAGAAGAGACGTCACACTTGCTCTTTTGTCAACTGGGCTTTTTTTGTGTTTGGCTGGGATATGGAACAGAACAGGAACAGGAAAGGAGACCAGAAGCAGGGAGAGAAGACGAGGAGAGGCTCCAGCAAGTCAAGGGTAGGATTGTATGTGTTTTGAAAGCAAAGCTTGGAAATACGGGGGGAGAGGGGCTGCATTTCCCAGAATATCTCAATCTCCATAATCACTGGCAATGCACTGTCTGGGAGATGTAGTCCCTTTCTCCCACCGTAACCGAAACAAAGATTTCCCAAAGCTTTGTAAGCTAGAATTTTACAAGTGCAGAATCTGCTTCATGAAAAATCTACAGTGTAACCTCTCTTTAAAAAAATGTCACCATAGTTTGGACATATTGTGTATCTCTCATCTGTCTGGCTTGAATATATATGGACTTAGAAATGGGCATGAATCAGAAAAATGGAGATTTGTTTTGATTTATAATTTGTCAACGCTGACAAATCATGAATAATGAATTTACTTTTTTTTCCTGACAAATCAACGACAAATCATGAATAATGAATTTACTTTTTCCCCCCGACAAATCAACTCATCAATTTATTTTTGCCTTTAAAACCCTATAGAACTGTCCTCCAAGCAGTTTGGGTTTTAGACATCCAAGTTGTACACCCACAAAGTGCCCCCCCCAAGGAAAATGCCTTTTAGCAGCTGGCTTGGTGAAACCCTGTCTTCACCAAACTGGGAGATATTGTAGAGGAGAGTCATAGGACGTTTCTCTGTCTTTAGGTCCCTGGGGGAAATTTTCCTGGGGGGGGGGGGGACTTCTTTGTAGGTGTATAACTCAGACATCCGAAATCCAATCTTCACCAAACGTGGATTGTAGAGGAGCAGAAGGGGAAGCTTCTCTGCAATTTTGGTGTCTCTAGATGCCTGGGCGGGCCATTTACAGCCCAACGAATTAACAAATAAAACATCACTAAATTCATTGATTTACATTCGGGAGCACTGAATTATACAAATACAAATCAATGAATTAGCGATATTTGATTAATTTTGCAATTCGTTTTTCAATTTGTGCCCATTCCTAATATGGACATTTTCTAGGGAAATCTCAGTACATAGAAAGCACAAATGGATAACATTTCCAGTGATAAAAGATGGGATTTAGGGTACTGTGTACATCACCATATCCCGCAAAGTAAGTGGAGGATGCAGGTATGTTTCATTCACTTTACTATACAATGCCTTTAGCCACCATATAGTTATGGTTGGTGATTAATACCCATATAATCTTCTATCCATGTTATTTCCTCTATAGAAATAAAGAAATGAAAGGAGCAGGGATGGGGAGTTGAGTCGCAGATCCCGCTCTGAAGTTGGACTTTAATTGCACCGGTGACTTGACTCAACTTGTTTTTTTTTCCTCCAATGACTTGACTTGCAACTCAGAACCCAACCACCCCTTCCTTTTTTCTAGGGAAAAAGGCTTGTTTTTAATAGGGACTTGGGTTTGGGACTTGGGACCAAAAACTCAGACTTGGACTTGAATTGGGACTTGGAACCAAAAACTCAGACTTGGACTTGAACTCAAGGACTTGCCAACATCCCTGAAAAGGACGAAGCTTCTCTCTCTCTCTTTTTTTTTTTGCTTAATCTTTTTCTTACCGCTAACATTTACTGATGTGATAGATCTACCTCTCCATCTTGCCACTTTCTGAAAATCTGAATCTTTTACTCATGCCTTTTAGCCAAGAGAATCACTTACAGTGGGAATTATGGGGTTATTATTCTTATAAAGAAACTCCTTACCCCCTCCCCCCTTCAGTGGGACTAGCTTTTGGCGGAACACATCAGATCGCAGAATATGTTTCCAAGGAGAAAGCAAACCAATATTGGATAGACTTATGAGTAAAGCTCTATAGTACAGAAAATTCCTCCTTTTGAGTAGGTCTGATTTCCTTTGAGATCCAGCTAGAAACTAGTTGGAAAAAATTGATCTGCTTTCTCTTATGAGGTTTTATATCATTTTTACTGTTTGCTTTACTTATTTATGCAGTGACTCTAACTGTTACAGATACACACATTCTTTTCCCAACAATGATGACTATGTAGTGCTTTTAAAAATCAGAGACGTTTCCTAAATAAATGTTTTAAAGCCTTTGGTTTAAAGTGATAACTATGAATGAAGCTGTGCCTCAAAGAGCGAAGAAATTCAGACTACAGACCAAGTCCCTCTCATCAATCAAAATCTGGGTACACATGAAAATGTAGGACATAAGCTCTGCTCTTTTTTTCGGGGAGAAGGGAGGGAGGGAGAGACCAAACTGTTTACCTGGGATTAATCCCATTAAACACATTGAGTTGTCCATCTCCCAAATATAGATCCACTGTATGAAAGCAAGGAAATATCTATTGCCTTTATGTAAAGCATGAACTGTTGGCGGTGAGCAAGCCTTCTCTGCAGATGAGATCCTCTGTCATAGGGCAGGCAGCCTTTCCCAACCTGAGTTTTCAGTCATGTTTTCCCTCAACATCTGCAGTGAACAACTACATGGAGGGATTTGTAGCCTGTTTAGGAAAAAAAGTGTGTGACTGAGGAAGGCAGTTCTAAACAACAACAAAAAGAGTACTTTGGGTGTCAGCAATGAAGGAGCCCTGGAAATGCCATTATTTATAGCAGAAAAACTGAAGTAACAAATTGATCATGCTTGTTCAACAACCTGAATGTCTTCATTGCAAAACAATAATTTTTGAATTTCCAACATTTAACACAAATGATTTCATTTTCAAATGCAGAGTTCTGACTTTTTGCAAAAAATGTCATGCAAACAGTATCTTTTTAGCAACCGTTTCAGAATTCTGGCTGGCAATGCATTTGTAATATGGCTGGCAAAGGAAAACAGGATGCACAAAGGAGAATGGAAGGAGTCCGAAGAGGGGAAAAAAAGGCTTACAAGTTGCTATTTGATGCCTAGGGACAGGACGTTCAAGTACAGTAGTAGTAGTGCTTTAAAAACTCACACTAAAAACAAAACAAAAACACCCTGTGATTTCCAGAATCTCTTGCTGATATAGCTAACGTTTTTGCTGCTCTGGATGCGAGTCTGATGTTCTGGAAGATATGCCAAAGAAGTAACTTTCTAAAGTGCTGCTATTTTAGCCATCAGAGGACAGCTAGGGAAGTGGGGACAGAGTTTGCTCCCTGGATGAAGCCAACTTTAGATTGTGGAGCAGCTTCATGGCTTCTAAAACCTCACATTGCCCTGCAAAAGTGATTTTTTCTGCTATTTTGTAAGCAAAAGACCTATAGATATATCACATGGGGTAATAAGGAAGAGACTGTGTTGGATGTGCGTTGGACTTCAGACCCACTGTGTAAGTCACTGAGTGGGCACCATTGTGCTTTCAGTTATCCCCATTTTCCGGTATGTGATGTCATGCATCACAAAGACAGGGGGCGGGGTAGGGGAATAGGGTGTAACATCTGCTTTGTGCTTCTGCATATATGCAACGATTTTCAGTCAGAAGCCACAAGTGCAAGGCTGTGCATGAGACGATACTTTCCTCTTTCTTTGCCTTGTTTGGTCAAGCTGATCCACAAGAAGGGTTTCCTTTGTGAAAATTTCATTGGCCAAGTCAAGCGAGACCTTTCGTTTAATTACCAGCCCACTCACATTCCATATTGTGAGTTCATTTGTAGTACGATAACTCATTTGAACACAGAGAGATGAGAGGAATGCCTGTTCTATGTTATTAGATACTAGCCAAGAATTTTGTAAGCCCTTGTGTTAAAAATAGCTAACTTTGTTTTTAATCTGATTAACCTGAGGCTCATTTTTAATTGAGGGAAATACTTTGGACAGAAACATCAAGCTAAATCATCAATTGAATATCGCAGGCTCAAGTGATACTAAAATATGTTCGCATGATACACTGCTGACTGTGCTGGCGAACAATCAACATGAGGAAGCATGGCCAATGAACCTCTCTGTGCACGTAAACATACACACGGCAAAGAGGAAAAACGGGTTGGCAGCAGGATTCTTACTGAGATTTTGTTATTGGAACTATCACTGTTCCCGTAACAGAGGAAGAACTGAAGAACTAATTCATGCAATTGGCTGGATCAGTGCAGGAGCCTGTCCTCACAACCAATCAGCATGCATTTCCTACAGTTCCTGTTCTATTGTTGCTCCCCCTCTGCAAAAGCCTGATCTGACATCTATTCTCCAACAGCACAACTGAAAAGCCTGAAGATTACACATATCATCCCATGGGAGGATCAACAGAACAAGCTTGGAATAAATGCCATTTTGCCAGTCACTCTCTCCTTTAGCTAAGCAGTTGTCACTACACCACAGGTCTGCTTCAATTATTGGTTACTCTTCTTGTGGAACTTAGGGACATGGTGGCGCTGTGGGCTAAACCGCAGAAGCCTGTGCTGCAGGGTCAGAAGACCAAGCAGTCGTAAGATCGAATCCACGTGACGGAGTGAGCGCCCGTCACTTGTCCCAGCTCCCGCCAACCTAGCGGTTCGAAAGCATGCAAATGCGAGTAGATTAATAGGGACCACCTCGGTGGGAAGGTAACAGCGTTCCGTGTCTAAGTCGCACTGGCCATGTAACCACGGATTGTCTTCGGACAAAACGCTGGCTCTATGGCTTAGAAACGGGGATGAGCACCTCCCCCTAGAGTCGAACACGACTGGACAAAAATTGTCAAGGGGAACCTTTACCTTTACCTTCTTGTGGAAAGTGTGTAGATCATGAACATGGTAAGCAGGAGCCATCTTTTGAAAGAATCTGACCTCTTTTTGGAGCTTCACAAGTTCTAGGGGCCTTACCTGGTCTACCTCAACAGCAAAGGTGCATAATATATGGTCCTCCAGATGGTAGTGGACTACAGCTTCCATCTGCCTCCCACCCCAGGTAGCTTACCCAGCAATGAGGAATCTTGGGAATTATTGCCCAACATCACCTGGAAGACCACAGATGTTGCCCATTCTTTCTTTCAAGCACAGAGAGGAAGTGGGAGGTGCCAGCAATTGGTCCTCTGTGACTGGCATGCAATACAAGGCCAGGGGCAGCATTTGGGCTCACTCACCAATGAACTCAATGGCCTCAGGGAAGAACTGAGAAAGATTCTGGCTCCAGTGGTCCGAGATGGGGATCTGCTTGTAATGGAAATCCCCATTCTTCTCGAAGAGGTTCGGCAGGTTGGGGGTAACATTGAGGATGTAGCTGATGCCTAGCTTTGCCAGGGTGTCTAGATTGGCTGAATCACGGGCACTGCCCAGGTAGAGGTTGGGAAGAATCTGCACCGGGAAAGATGGGGGGCTTGCCCCTTCTGATTCCATGCCGCTGCTGAGGGGCTCCGACTCAGCATCTGAGCAGTCGGAGCTAAGGCTGAGGCCTCCCAGGCCCACCACTGGAGCAGCCAGAGGGACCGGCGAGCTGCTGGCACTGGCTGTGTCTAGATTGGTTTCACAGAGGTGTGGCCACTCAGCTTGGAATTTATGGAAGCCTCCTGCAGGGAAAGACCAAAACCCAAGAGAAAGCAGGTTTGTTATCACAGATAGGATGGCAACACTAACATTAAAAGTTCCTAAATATTCCCATAGTGAGCACCCCATTCCTCTTATTATCCAAGGGAAGCCAAACAGGACCACTAGTAGCCCCTTGAGAAGCCACCTCCAATTATCTGTGTCTGTCTCCAATTGTCATACAACAGTCACTGCACCAAGAAACCTAAAAAATTAAGTTCATGGGGAACCTCTTAAGTTAAGAAGTCGGACTCTTTTTTTTTTGTCCCCCCATCTCCCCTTCCCTTTATGTTCCCTCAGAGGGAGGGATTATGTTGCTTTAAAAACAATCCCCCCATGCATAGCATAAGCTATTTTGAGAATTTTTCCAGCTACATGGTGCAGGATACAGATGCCATCAATCCATCAATCTATAACTGTATATATAATTAAGGTTCCACTCCTAGGAAGCCAATTGTTGTGCAAGAAAAATGGTATTCTGTGAAATATAAAACTGAATCGTGTTGAGCTAATGTGATTGAATTCCCCCCCCCCTTACACAGTACAATATCTTGTGTGCTTTATACTGATTTATATAAATGATTTTGAAGTCAATGCCATAACTAGGGCAGTATGACTAGGGTTTTACCCAAACTACGGAAATACAGAAGAGGCAAAGATTTTCTACTAGAAGTTTGCAAACCTGCATCTTGGTATTTACTGCCGGAACAATGTGAACCCAATCTACCTTGAAAGCACATGTCAGCTTCAGCTGCTCCTCCCTAGGCAGAAGGAAACACAAAACGGGGGCTCACTAGCATTCCTCCCTCTTCTCCCCATGTATTCCAAGAGGGCTCGGGATCCCTAGGCACCAACACTGCTACTTAGAGCTCTGTCTGAAACTTTGAAAGGCAATGAAGCCCTGTTTCACCTACAGTTAGTCTTGCCTGAACAATTTCTTTTCTGGCTTCTAAGGACTGGAGCATACACTGGACTAGTGATGGGCATGAACCTCAGTTTGAAGGTTTGTGCCAGTTCATAAGTGCAGCACCATAGGTTCAGCACATTTCTTTCCCCTGCTTCTCTGGCCAATGCCCCCACTCATCAGTTGGAGCGTGTTCCTCTCCTCCTCCTCTTTGGCCGCTCAGCCCGTCTCCAGCAAGATTACAGGCTTGCTTGTCCCACCTCCTTGTCCGAGTGTGCGATCCGCCAAGGCAGCAGGGCAGATAAGTCCATGCTCCTGCTGGGGACTGGCTGAACAGCCAAAGAGAAGGCGCAGAGGAACATGCTCTGGCTAGTGCGTGAGGAAATCCTTTTGCCCTGGGAAAGTCTTTGGAGTCTTTAGGGTGGCTGCTGGATCGCCGTCACTGGTCCCAAGGCTAGCGGTGGCAGTTTTTGACTTTTAAAGGCTCTCTCTCTCTCTCTCTCCATCCCAAGGCTGCCAAAAGCCTTCCAAGGGCAAAAGGACCCCAAGGATCCCTGGAATCTAAAACAGGGTGAGTGGGTGGGTGTAGGAATAAACAGCTTTGACTTGGTGTAAACTAAATGGTTCCAGCACCCAATTCGGGTTGCCACAGAAGCAAAGTTACACAATGGGATTTTGCCTATTGCTTCATGACCATACACCTTTCAAGTATAACTCCACAACCATAAAGAGTAGAAAAATGCTTGTAAAGAAAATGAAAGGAGGATATTCTCAGATGTTGAGTGCTATGGCTCAAACACTGACAGATGTTGATAAGAACTACATTGAGAGCGTTCCTGTCTTAGTTGCTGTTTTTTATTTTGTTTTGTTTGGTTGTTTTGGATAAGAATGAGCCCTTAATGAATGTCCTATCAAGAAGCAAGCTGCCATCACTTTATCGCTATAGTACAGAAGCAACGCCTGCTAAAACACAGAATACAGAATACCCTGTGTATAGGAACATATTCAGAAGATTGTGTAAAAGCCAGATTTTTTTAAAAAAAAATCCATAAGGGCTTTGCCATACTCTGGGCCATCTCTCCAACAAATCTTTAAATTTAAAACTGCTTGGAAAGGATAATCAGTGTTATCTGTCCCAGACAAGCACACCTCTCAGTAGCCCGGAAAATCTATGTGGCAGTTTGTCATGCATTATACAAGACAGCTTTCGTAGCTGCTCTAGTCACGAGCTTGTCCCGTTTTCCTGGTTCTTTCTTATCCACCTGCTGCAGAGACAGGGACAGTCCTGGGGACACGCCTAGGAGCCAGAGTCAAGCTCTTCCTGTCTCTATCGTAGCGAGCAAGGCTCCTGTCTTCTTCCACCGCAGATGAGTGGGGAAAACTCTAGGGCCTGCCTTTCATTTTTAAACAGTCCTCCTGATGCCCTTCTGCTTCAAGTGGAACCCAGCCTAGAGCAGCTACACAAGGCTCGTGGGCCACAGCTCAACCGTTTCCTGCTTGGTACACAGAACCTTCCCAGTCTAATCCCCAGCTTCTGCACATATAGAAGAGAAAAGTTACCAGCCAGCCTCGACCAAGCATGGAGGGATATACAGCCTGCCAATTGTTGGTCTTTTGTCAGTCTGAGTCGGCACAGCCAAAGGTAATGGACAGCAGGAGCTGGAGTCCAATGACATCTGGAAGTCCACAAGTTGTCCCAATTCCTTATCCAATGGTAGGGCAGGGCCAGCCCTCCCCTCCCCCACTTGCTCTGTCACACAACCAGAATCATCCTCATGGTGACAGACATGAGGAAGGGAGATTAGGTGGAAGACTGGGCAGAAGAAACTGTGGCTGCTGCACCTCCCATTTTAATAGGGTTTTTTTTTTAAAAGGGGAAAACACTGAAGCCTTATTCAGGATTTTGTTAAGCACGAGTATTCCACATGCAATGACAGGAGTGTGCTAGTCCTGCCTTCCCCAAGCGACTACCTTCCTCACACAAAAGTGACCTTTCTGGAGAGCTTATTGTGTCCCGGAAGGCAAGACAGAATCGCAGTGTTCCCACATTCTGACTTGCAGGGAGAGTCTTGAAAGACAGAACAGGCTTGGCCTCTTCAGACATGTTGGTTTTGCATGAGGGGAGGAACAACAACAGCAGAAGTGGACTGGGCTGGTGCACTACCCTCTTCACACACAGCAGACACACACTTAAGAGACCCCTGAATCAGGTTATGTTGAGCAGAAAGCCACAGGCAACTGCAGGTGCATATATATATATATTTTCAACAACGTTTCTTAAAATGATAATAATCTCATGATAATATAATCTTAGAAGCGAAGAGCTAGAAAGGACCCTATGGCTCAGATGGAAAGCCTTCAGCAGAGGCCTGTCATTTTAAGTGGATCAAGAGGCGTAGTCTAATAAAAGTAATTTTTCCAGGCTCTGGAAATGGCAGAGCAATTCTCCTTGATGGGCATGTAGAACCAGGCCTATATTCCAGCCTGCCTCTCCCATAGAGCCTTTTTGCATACATACACCCTCTGGCTCACCAAAGCACTGGCTAACTCACAGCAAAGGACTGCTCAAGGGAACAGAGGTTTAGTCTTTGACGGCTGGCACACTTGTCTCAAAACTCTGCCTACCACTAGTGGTCA